CAAGTATGTGTACATCTTGAACACGAGCTTGAATCAGTCTGATTCGTTGAATGTGATGTACAGATCATGCAAACTTCAACAATTTCGTGAAGTACGCTCATTTCATTGTAGAAGGCTCAAGGGCTGACACATGCATAACCGTAAACGGTTTGAGCTGACTCGAGTTCCTATTCAAGATCTACTGATTCTTGTGAAATCTACCTATTCTGATAACTTCAGAAGCATAAACACACTGAGACGCAGTTGTGAGCTCACAGAAGTTTCACTTCCTAACGGGACTCCAACTTGATGCATGGCCATCCAAAGTTGGGTCCTACTGCTGACTAAGATGAAGATGCGGCTCAAACAGGACCACGGATGCTTTTGACACATAAACATGAATGACTATAGGCATACTTGGAAGTGTCAAGGTGGGCATATTTCATGGGTAGGACACAGATCAGATTCCCGAGAGCAAGTGCAGGCAGCCTCCTGCTGGGCATGTATGACCTCATTGCCATTCAATACATAATCATGCCGGACTAGGGCTCTGAGATGCGTGGCAATAGAAAAGTTCACTGGCCAAATCACATCTTCTTCCAGTCCTCCAAAACAGGCCGGTTCGTCACGCCCAGACTGCCGATCCACCGATGATGCTTAGCCCCTTCTAGACGAAATCCACACACAGTTTCCTCCTCGCACGTACGCATGACCGCAGTTGCATGCGGCACTTGGGAAAGGAAAGTCTTGGTTACACGCACACTTTACCGTTTGTCCCAAATGCAGACCAGACTTGGGGTGGAGGGCAAGAAGAACCAGTCAGCCCGCCGCGTGTGTCAGGCCCGAGGTGTACCCGACGGGCTGGGAGGCATTGCCTTAAAGACTCTGTGAAGGCGGCCCGAAGGCCTTGTGATTTGCGCAGTGGATCAGTGGAAAGTGTGTGAGTAAACAAAATTTCAGCGGACAGACACACAGTAAGTTAGTTAGTCAGTTAGGTATGCAATTTATGCTTATTCACACAAGATGTATTATCTAATACACCTATTGATCGTTCACTCAAGCGATTAACTAACCGATTAGAGCTAACATTAATAATAATATGGCTAGTGTTATTGACAATTATAATCACAATTACAATTACAACAATAATAATTACTAGTCTTATCATCTATTGTTATAATACAACTATTGTTTGTATTAGTAGTAGTAAGTTTAATCATTATTATAATTATATTATTATATAATAATAATATTTAATAATAGAAGCGGTTTGACCTCGTTTTCACAACTTGATCGCATTGTCAAGGCGACCTTGCTGAATGCATCTTGTCGGAAGTCCTCCACTATAGTAATTATGATCATACTCAATGTCGGACTGTGAAGTTGGTAGATGATCAAGTTGCCTGAACGCTAGTTTTTCGTTTAAGGGAACAGCTGCTGCCGAATGCCCTTCTGGTTAGTGAAGTAACTTCACTTATCTGCAAGCATGTAGAGAAAACTTGAGGTAACCAACCAAATCATGGGATGCCTCATAAAGATCGCAAAGTTAGATGTATAAAAAGCGACTAAGGTTGCATACGTCGACCTTTTCACTTGGTTTAGTATATTTTTAAATATTTCGTTAAGTATGAATTCTTGCTGTGATGATGTCTGTGACGGCACCGATTCATCGGGATCGCAGGATGGAGTGTCGAGGGCTTCTTGGCACAATCCAACAGCCTTAATTACGCGGCATTCCTCCTTAGGTCTCTAGTGAGATTACATCAGGAACACCTTCCAGCCAACATTTCCTTCAAAATAGAAAGTAATATCACAATAATTCCCAATGCTGGACTGTGGATTCGGTAGGTGGGCAAGTTGCGAAAATGAAGTAAAACTATTTCTATGTGAAGAAACGAGGCCGCGACGAAAATATAGGTCGCAATATCGTGGTCTTCATATATCCTAATAGTTATTCATATGATCATTGGAACTAATGATACAAATATTATTTTTATTGTTATAAGAAAGCATTATTATGAATTTAATAACACTTTGAATATAAAAAAGCAATATATTAATAGTATTACGAGCAATATTATTAAGTATTCTCATTGTAATTGTAAGTGTTTTTTATAATTATAATAATAACAACAGTACTACTACTATTAATAGTACTAGTAGTAGTGGTAGTAGTATAGGTGGTGGTATAACTCGCTACTCGTTAATGAGTCTTATAGCTTAAATATGGAGGGCAGTTGAGGAAAATCATAAGCTGAACTATAGCGCAGAGACGGCTTTTGGTTAAATTTCCGGCAGGATCAGCTTTTGGTATTACAACCAAAACCCCTACTGTAAATGATTGCGTCGAAATGGCTCCCCTGCTAAGTAAGCAATTGAATAGGAAATTAGCTTTTTTTAATAACATAACAAAACCAAATGTTGATTGTGTGAAGGCCAGGGTGGTGCGACCTTTTGTACGATCGCGGTTTCTTTTCGTTGTATACTAGTTGCTTGGTCCCGATCTCGCAACTTGGTCATATTGGCAGTAAAAACAACGGTAACACACCTTGTCCGGAATCGATACTATGCATGATAATTGCCAGAGTCGGACCGTGGGAATCTACTAAGTCTACGGCCCAACTTTGGAAATTGTCGTGCATAGTATGGACTCCGGACAAGGTGCGTTGCTCTAGTTCCTACTGCTGATATGACCAAGTTGTCGTCAAGCAACTTATGCAAAACTAAACATGCCTTCAATGTCAGTCAAACGTAAAGTCTGGCAGAGCGGTCAGGTTTTGGGAGAGATAAGGTAACTGTTGAAAAGTGGAATGATAAACGGAGCTCAAAGAGCTATTTCTTTGGCTCAGCCCAAGGGTCTTCCAAGGAGATACTCGACTAGCAAGGAGAGCTGCATGATGATCAGGCCGAAAATGATAATCTAAAGTCGTTCTGGAGACGAAATTCCACTTTTCATCTGATTGTTTTTTTCTCTGGAATTATCAGCAGAGTATTTTGATCTTTGAGTAAGTACAGCCTACCGAATGGTAGGTAATGTGGGGTCCAAGATCGTGTGGCCGTTTGTTTGGTCGCAGTCTTCTTTAGCTGTATAGTGTTGGTTTGATCTCATCTGTCTCCCGTTGCCAGCTGTTGTCAATGGGGAATTCCATTCTGATGGCATGTCTTGTAAAGGTCGTTTCCAGCATACTTCGGCGTCTCCTTGCGGTGAGGGCAAAAGGCGCACGGGTCAGGCTTTCAGGACAGCGGGGATCGGATTGTTTGTAGGTCGCATCATTTGCGTTTGACACGGAAGTTGCTGATAGTCGAACTGGCTTAATGTTTTCCGTGGCTCTGGTAAATGCCTCCTCCTCCAGGGTCGACCCCCCATTGAGCCTCTTCACTGTCTCCACAGGCTATACGAACAACGATTCAACCTTTAGATAACGCTTTCATTTTATCTGTATGTTTCGTCTTTGCAGCAGCACATATGACTGGCAAGATTACTTCTGATAGCAGCCTGCATTGGTACCGAGTCCAACGTTCTGCGAACAGGCAATACGTTGCGACACTTTCAAGGTATTTCTGATAACATCGAGCCTTAGACCTTCGTCTCTATGCAATTCTAAACGTGAAACCGGGTTGAATTGGTGCGTGTTCAGTCGACTTTTGATATTTTTTTTTGTTGATAAGTGGGTTCTCAAGGCTACCAGTAAATCGGAAATAATAGCCGCATTCACCCTATTTCGATTAAGGGGATGAAGAAAGAGTAGTTGAATTTTTCCACAATGCTTTGAGTAACCGATCGCTATAGCAAATACAACTTTTCTTCATCGACAATGGCACCACATAAATGGGAAATGGGAAAA